TTTCGCGCACTCGACACGCACGATCTCCGCAGAGGGTTGCGCGCGCACCGGACAAATCGCACTCTCGCCTGCATTTCGCGCACTCGACACGCACGATCTCCGCAGAGGGTTGCGCGCGGACCGGACAAATCGCACTCTCGCCTGCATTTCGCGCACTCCACACGCACGATCTCCGCAGAGGGTTGCACTTTCGGTTGACGCTGTTCGTCCCACCCTCCGCCTTTAAGAGAGAATTTATGAAGTGGGGAAATGTTTTTTCATTAGGACATCTCCCGTGCTAGTTTTCCATCTTTACCATACTCACACTTGCCCTTGCATAGTCATTGCATGCTTGCATACTCACACTTGCATACTTTGACCCTGGCATACTTCACACTTGGATGCTTTCGCTCTTCCAGTGTGTGTGTGTGTGTCAGTGTGAGTGTCGAAGTGTAAGTGTGTCAGTGTGAGTGTCGAAGTGTAAGTGTCGAAGTGTCAGTGTTCAAAGGACTTTCCGGAAGAACCCTTCGCAATGCTTTCGGGAAAAAAATCAAGTATACCAACCCCCCCAACTCCAGCATGCCTCCCGAGACGGATCCGACCGCGAAGCCACCGGCCAGCACCGCCAAGGAGATCACCAATCCACCCACCTCCTTGCAGTAGCCCTGGGGCATTGGGGCACGAGTGCGAGCGGGCGCTCACGCACGCGCGCACGCGCTCGCCCCGTGGCCGAACCCGGGGTCGCTGCCATCATTTCCTCCGCCCAATTGGCCTTCGCAAGGCACTTCATGCTGAATTCCCAAGTTGAGGGTCAAAGCGAACCCACTGAACAAACTGCTTCGGGGTGCAAGCCTTTACCAATCCAACGGTTGATGCCTTGTGATCCAGTATTAAAGATCATGCATGATCACACCTTGGCCCTGCAGGAAGGGATGTTCATGGAAAGGTTGGGCATCGCTTCTTCCGCTGCTCTACCCGGGCATTACGTCCGCCACTCCGAAAAAAGGAATAAAAGGACACGTCCTACCTCTTCGCGCGTTATGTCTTGCTGGAGAAAATGGATTCACCCAACCAAAACATCACCACCACCACCACCACCTCATCCTTCAGTTCAACCACCCAAACATCACATACATTCCCCAGTTCTGCCAGTTCTCCACACCGTCCACTCAACCTCCCACCCCCACCTCCATCGTGACGGCCAGCACTGTGTAGCCCAGCACGAAGGTGCCCAGCAACTCCGCCAGGCCGGCCTGCCGCTCGTGGAGGCTGGGCATTCCCGGCTGAGGACGTTGAAGGGAGGTTTCGCATCGGAATCTCCTACTGAGTTGTTGTCGCTTCTTGCTGCTAGTAGTAATGCCCTTGTTACTAGTAGCGATGCCCGTGTTACTAGTAGCGATGCCCTTGTTACTAGGAGCGACGCCCTTTCTTTCTAATAGTTTCCCTACTGAGTTGGCCTGTAATGTAAAGTTAAGATAAATATATCCCCCCTAGTTAATCCGAGGAGACGAAGCTGCCGGAAATTGCCCAAATTAAAAATAGTATTGGTTGCTGATTTCTACCAGAAATCCCCCCCAGTTCATCCGAGCCCACAACCAGGTCAATTTTACGCGCTACTCATACTACAGTTACTACAGTTACTACAGTTACTACTACTATTACTACTACTACTACTACTGCTACTACTACTACCACTAGTACACTACTACAACATTACTACTACTACTACTACTACTACTACTACTACTACTACTACTACTA